CCACGGCCAAGACCATCACCACGGCCTAGGCCTTTACCACGGCCAAGACCATCACCACGGCCTAGGCCTTCACCACGGCCTCTACCACCACCACCATGGCCTAGACCATCACCACGGCCTAGGCCTTCACCACGGCCAAGACCATCCCCACGGCCTAGGCCATCACCATGGCCTCTACCACAACCACGGCCTCTACCACCACCACGGCCTCTTTGTTGCCTAGTGCCTCGTTGGCTTGTTTGACTTGGTTGGCTACTCCTTGGTTGACTTGGTTGGCTATCATTTGCTTGGCTTGTGCTTGCATCATTTTTCTTTGATCTTTTTCTTGATTTGGGACAAGTTCTTGTGTTGTGTCCCCCATGACTGCAGTCCCCACAACGGGATTGCTCACGAGGCTCTTGGAATTGGCCGGTGCCGTATTCTCCACCGCCACCACGGCCCCATCCATCCATGTCACCTCTAAGACGCTTTGTCTTACGTATTCCCCGTCTAACGACCTTCAATTTTGTGTCCGGCCATAGTTGAACTCCATGATACTCCGACCATTGTGATTGGTCCAAGTATGGCTGAAACCGGGGAGCCCATGTATTCTTTACCGTCATGATTGAGAACTTGGACTCCCTCACGGTAAGAGGGTGATTGACGTCCACATTCCTAACACGGGCTGCATTTAACAAGTGCGAGCATGGGAGATGAAGCAACGATGGCCTCATGCAGCTGCAATCACACCGTGTTAGGGAGACCTTGAAAGCGCGGCCTCCGTGTTGGTGGCCATCGTTTGTGGTTCCTCCAGGCTCTTTCACCTCATACTTCCACTCGTTGTCGTCATATAGTACAGCTTCTTGGGAGTCTGCCTTTCATGATTGAAAGTCCAACCATTCTTCAACCTTTGGTGGGAAATAGTACTTGTGCTTATCCTTGTTCTCACCAGCAATCTGCTTATCCGTCTCCATTGAATACTTCAAAAGGTATCCATTCATCTTGTCAAATGTGTATTGAACTATTGCCGTCACGGGTAATGCACGTAC